CACACGCTCTTACACCCTTAAGGCCACGTAGTGGGCGCATAGATAGTTCAAAAAGATTTCACACACAACGTGTTTGAAGTACGCAGTATCAAAATATTGCTATAGCGTTCAACTCTTAAAGGCGAATCATAAGGGTCCTCCAGTTTTTGCTTATATCTTTCTTTTTTTTGCATGACCCATGTGTAGTTACTATAATTTTGAAACAAACTGTATTCGCTCGTGTTCTGATGCTATGTTTTTTCTCTCTGACACGTTATGAAGAAAACTGCGGCTATACTCCTGTGTCAAATCACACATCTGAACTCCCAAACAAGTGACTGAACCTTATGTTTTTGGCACATTCATGCTATACTGTTTGAATAACTTATGTCCTCAAACTGGTGTAGCTATGAGTTTACCGTAGAGTTTAGTGGCGCTCTTTGAAACATGGACAATAGGGAGAAAGAGATGACACTCGCTCCACTTGCAACTAAGCCTATTTCAGAAAACTACTTCATATATATACACTCACACTTACCCTGAGTGACACGAAAATGTAATGACAGGCATTGAAAACTTATCTAATATGAAATTTTCTGCACTTAACGATAAAATAACTACGGCACGTGCAGGAATGAGCTCGAGAGTTCATAAAGTTTTTACCCACTAAAGCTATAAAGACTAAGCAAGTGCAGCCTATACAATTTAAAAAAATAAAGGCGGCAACATAAAAAAAACTGTAAAAATGTACAATTCATGATAATTTCCAAGGTGATCAAATTGAACCTATGCGTGGTCGACATGGAAGGCAGCAACAAGAACCAGCGTTAAAATTGTGATACTGCACACTTTCAAAGAAACCCCTACCGTTAAGTGGCTGCCCGATGACTTAAGAAAACCAATAATTGACAAACGTAGCAGTATTTTTTGTTTATGTGAAATGATTAAGCTATTTCTCTGGTTAGTTGATTTCTGTGATGAAAAACCACTGTGATTCCATCAAATAGGTGCAAACAGCCACACTTAGAGCAGTTGTACTTAAGGTGGGACTAATTATTTGTTTCTAAAGATCTATGCTTCAACAACCAGCTGTTCAGACACCGACCAGTCTGGTGAATGGTAAATTTCCCACACAGTAGGAGTAAACAATATATCAGGGATAATTTGCATCTAACCAACTATGTTTTATGATTTATTTTGCATATGCTGACATTAGCCTTTTTCGTCGTCGAAAGTTTATGGTCCCATTTGGCACATACTTTACCAAACCTGTTGGGTGGCGAAATAAGTGCTGGTAGGCCCGACCTTTTACCTGCGTTTATTAAAGTTGTGCTTCGCGATGCGCATATGGTTAAAACAGTCCTTTTTTTTCTGTCGTAGTTTGTTTATAGTATTGCATTCTTACTGTTATATATATGGCCCTTGTTCGCAACCCTGACGAAGACCGGTCCGCCGGTCGAAACCGTTGGTAATAAAATTAAGATAACCACTAAGTTGTGTTTTTTCTCTTCCCAAGTACGTTTGGCTCATTGGAAAAATTCTTCTGTATATATATATATATATATATATATATATATATATATATATATGGGAAGAGAAGACAGACAACTTAGTGGTTGTCTTAATTCTATTACAACGGTTTCGACCGGTCTACCGGTCTTCGTCAGGGTTTGCAAACTTGTGATATCGACATGGTGGTGCAAAAAAGAAATGGGAGAGAGCTACAAATTAGTGTTGTCCTACAGTGGTGACATGTGCTGTACCGAACAGTTATCTTCGTCTTATTCGCTGGAGCGAACCAAAAAGAACCAAAAAAAGACAGAAAAGATAAAAAAAGAAAAAGAGAAAGAAAAGAAGAAACTAGGGGTAGCAGGAGAAAGAGTGAGCGAGATAGGGTGGCTTCCGCGACGCGTCTTTGAAGGTCACGGAGGGACATTGTGGGTTAGCTTGGGTGGCAGGCAATTAACTGTAGGAAGACGAGTGCCCGATTTGGCCCCTTCTGTGGTCAGTTACAAAAAGGAAAGGAGCAGGTGTTTCGTTTTCGCTGAAACTATACTGACACATTCCATATGGGGGCGGAGGAGGGGGCACATTTCAGAGCAAAGATTGTGAAAGCACAAAAGGCTGTTTGGAAAGTAAAGCCGACATCTAGGGCGGGAAGGCACACGTTGTCATTGTGACTGCGTGGTTGTCTCCAGCCCTTTTGTACCACTCCATGAAGCACCTGTGGTTGAAATAGACTGGTGCTATACATACACACACACGCACACACACACCACACATATATATATACACGAAAAACGAGCTCTTAAGTATACACTTGTTTCCCTTATTCATTAATGAGGATCTCGTACTGGCAGCCTTGGTGCCGCTAGGTTGTATACGGGGGACTATTGGTCAGCTGCCAGTTAGTAATAAGGTCACGTGCTACGTGACGCCAAACAGGCTCATAAAGAGTGTACCACACTCGCCGCCATGGGTACTAGTGGCGCTGACTGACACTCCCACGTTTAAAATTGACATAGATACCCAATAAAGTGGCTGGGGGATAGCTGTCGTGGTAGCTCAAATGGTAGAGCATCGAACGCGTTATTCGAAGGTCGCAGGTTCGGATCCTACCTACGGCAAGTTATTTTTTCGCCCACTTTTCTTTCTTCTGATTTACATTACAACTGGCCTAATAACTTCCCCTATACCTTTCTTGCCATTATTGTCTGTTAGATCCATTATTATTGTGTAATATTAATATTCTGTAATATTTATCAATGGTGTGTTAACAATCATCTTTATATGAATCCCTCTAAAACTACATTTGTGGTGTTTTCATCCGAACAGAACACATTTTCCTCACCAGTTTCCGTATCTCTTAACAACCATATTATTTCTGTATCGGATCATGTGAAGTTCTTAGGCGTAATACTAGACAAGCATTTGAAATATAACTATCATGTACTCTCAATATTAAAAAAAAGCTTCTTTTGGCATTCATGTTCTCAATAAAGCCCGCCCTTATTTTCAGTAACGCATTATTTTATCATTCTACTATGCATATATTCATAGCCATCTTTCCAATTGCATTTCATCCTGGGGTAATACATATGCCAGTCACCTGGAGCCCCTTCTACATCTTCAGAAACGGGCACTACGTCTGATCGCCTTCGCTCCATTTCAATCGCCTTCTACGCCACTCTTTATTTATTTTTCCGTGCTTCCAATTAATCTTTTATTCACTTTAAAGTTAGCTATATTGATGTACCGCCTCATTTATCATGGTCTATGTGTTTCAGGGCTATCCACACAACATCTTGTCAATACTAATAACACAAGGTTTTCAGCCTGTCACAATTTCCTTCTCCCTAAAGTGCGTAGCAATTATGGAAAACTAACTCTTAAATTTACAGGTGTATCCGTATGGAACAACATACCACTTGAAATAAAGTCATGTCCCACATTCTATTCGTTTCGCAAAATGTTTAAAGAGTACCTAATCACAAAACGTGTTTTCTAAACTCTGCCGTCGTACCTTACTCCTAATTTTAGTATTTTTTTACTCACTATACCACTTGCTGTTACACAGAACTTTTCTTGCCTTGTTTTTATGAAGTTTTAACCATTCTTTGTTTAATTCGTACAAAGTGTTTTTCACTGCTTGCTGCATTGTTATCGCACTTGACTTATTCTCTAACGGAGGTCCCCCAGACAGTTTTCTAACTTCGGGACCTCCTCTGTACTGTAGAATTTAATTCAAGTAAATGTATGCATTCCTGAAATAAAATATTTTATATTAATATCTAATTTATATTAATGACCTCTCCTGCCACAACAAATCCAGAATTCATTTATTTGCTGATGATTGCGTTATTTCTCGTGAGGTAAATAACATAATTGATACGTGTACTCTTCAATCAGACCTTAACACTGTTGATAACTGGTGCCGTACATGGTTAATGGAATTGAACATAAACAAATGTAAAGTCATGCGCGTGTCCCACAGTGTTTGCAGTCAATTTACTTACTACTTAAACGACATACCTCTTGAATCTACTAACTCGTACAAGTACTTAGGCGTCCACATAACATCCAATCTCTCTTGGGCAATGCACGTCGAACAAATAATCAACAAAGCTAACCGTACGCTTGGGTACCTACGCCGTAACTTTTCCAAAGCTCCATCTTCATTGAAATTAGCCCTGTACAAAACATTAATACGACCTAACTAGAATATGCCTCTTCGATTTGGGATCCCAGCCACATTAATTTAATTACATCGCTGAGCTAGTTCAGAATAATTCCACACGCTTCATATTATCGTACTACAATCGCACTGCCAGTATATCTGCAATGAAAAATAATCTGTCCCTGCCTACTCTGTCACTTCGAAGAAAAGTTCCCGCCTATCAACTTTTCATAAATTGTATCACCACCCCATCTTGCGCGACGACTTATTTTGCACCCCAGTATTTTTCCAACCGTGTCGATCACCGTCACAAGGTTGGAATTATCACCTATCGTACTAACACAGCTGCGCAGTCGTTCCTGCCTCGTTCTTCTCGCGAGTGGAACCACCTATACTCGTACTAACGCTGTATTTTCCCTCCCCACCATGTACCATGTGTATTCAATGTAATCCTCTCCCCTCTGTAATGCCATTGGCCCTGAGGGTATTATAAATAACTAAATAAATAATAATAAATAAATAAATAAATAAATAAAAGTTTGATTGATTTGAAACACAAAAAACCAGCCCTTAAGTGTACACTTGTTTCCAATAATATATATATATAATATATATATATATATACTATATATATCTATATATATATTCATTTACACTCTGCTCAGGATATCTCTGTATCTCTACCTTTCATGATTACAAGAGGACTCGTCACGAGAGAAATGTAACAAATTGACGTGGTTAAAATTTAGACGTTGTGGAAAAAGAAAGAAATTGTCGCAAGTATAGCTCAAGTAAGAATGTGGAAGAGAAAGAAAACGTAAAAGAAACATTACGAAAAAAGATACGCAGCCGACAGGATTCGAACTTGTGCGGGGAGAGCCCAATGGATTTCGAGTCCACCGCCTTTACCACTCGGCCACGACTGCCAGACGGCAAAGGCGCAAAGTCAAGCGCTGTGATGGCGCCACACCAGTGTAGCACAAAAGCCTGCACGACGTACGTAACGAAACAACGGCCTGGAGCCTGCGTAGAAAATCTTGGCGCCACTCCTGTGCAGTGTGCGTACTTTCATCGTATATTGATAACGCGAACAGAAAATAATACAACTGGCTGTGCTACTTAAATGCGTGAAGGTGTGAGTGTGTGAATACTCCCTAGCGGCGGTGCCTGAAGTGGGTACCCAGTCAGATCCAAAAGTGTACTGCAACCCGTTTCCAAGTAACGATTGAATGGCTTCACAGAAGGAGTTTACTGCATCGTTTGTTTGTTTGTTTGTTTCCCTGAGATGATGGCTCATACCCACTCAGAGGGATTGGCCAAGAAAGTGTAGTGCAGTTTTTCTGTGATCATTTTAACTATGTGTAATGAATTGGTATTATAGTAAGACTAATGTAAAAAACAACATGAAAAGAGCAAACAAAAAAAAAGTCAAGTTGAGCAATTTTGAGATTTCAGTTGTAATGATTACCACTCAGCTGCGTCTACTACACTCTGCCCTGGGGAGTAATAAATAATATTTTTTTCATTGAAGATCACAAAGGTATACGCTTGGTTGCCTGAATATAATCGCAAACGGCATTGAAAGCATCCCTGTGGCAATGTCCCAAAACTGAGGCACCACAGCTTAGCGCCGTTTCCGCCGTCAATCTAATGCCTGTTTTCAGAAATGGCATAACTAGTAACCTTTTTCGAAGTATAGCGTAGCGGCGACAATACAAAACATAATGATCTAGTGATTCCATTTTTCCGCAGAATGCGCAGACAGTGATGTTATCTGACCAGCCCTGTGTAGATACAGGTTTAGGGGGGGAACGTGACATCCAAATTTAGTAATTAAGACTTCGAGCTTTCTGGAATGGCTCCAGTGGGGTTGCCATGGCAACATGAGGTGGTTATATTCTGTTCATGTAGTTACTTTTTCTATCGTATCAGTGGAGATTGCTGATTTTCGATATCTTATTGCCGTGATATATTCAACATCTGGCAGTAGGACCAAACTGGCCCCATCAAGTGCGGCTCGTGCTAAGGAATCGGCCAATTCATTTAATCTTAATCCACAGTGTGCCGGAACCCATAGTAACCTCAGGAGTCTCAACTGCGGGGGTTATAATGTTTTGAATGTGCTTAGAATTCGAGAGTTCTCTGAAGCTGTCAGAGCTGCACAAACTGAAAGAAAATCCGTCATTACTGCATTGCGAATATTGTCCTCGTTCACCTTCTCTTGTGGCTCATACCCACTGTGAATTGTTGGCCAATAATTCAGTGGTCTTATAAGATCTTATTCAATTTTAGAGCAATGGAGGATATAGAATAAAATCATTACAACTTTAAAATGAAATTTTGGTGCCTACTCATACATACCAAATATAAAGCCTTTTTATTGGTAATAGATAATCAATAAAAGCAACGCTGTGCAAATTCTTTTCATCCATGCAGTTCTAACGAAGTTCAAGAGACTTGTCGCACGCTGTTATTGCTTTCTTTGTTTTTGCAACGAGCACGCCAGAAGCGAAGCAGGGCATGGGGGAAAAAGTTACGTCACACGCACGTCATTACTTCAAGACTTCTTATTTTCATTTTTTTCCGTGATCGGTAGCGAGCGCGCGGGCACGTGGCGGCCTTCGCAACTATAAACAGCTGACGAGGTCCAATGGCCGTGGATTTGGGTATATGACATCATTTGTAGAAAAAAAGAGGCAACGATGACTAGCTGACTTTGAAAATCTATAGTAAATTCCAAGCCCCGTGTTGTGCCTTAATGTACGGCTCGTGTGTTTTCGATCGGAAGCCTTGACTATACCGATCGACGACGTTTTCTCATAATGCTGAAGTGTTGCACGTCTCCTTTAAAACTATGTTCCGAATTCAGCATTAAAAAGCTAAAATTGCTGGTAATCTCCTCAATGTGCAACTATGTGATGTAGTCACTTTCGATTTGCCAGCGTTGGAATTTACGCTGGCCGAATCTAGTTTACCACGATACACGGGTTAACATGCAATCGTTCTTTCTTTTTTACTGGCATGAACCAAACTACACGACCAGGCACTTCCTTGCAGCCACTCAAGTGTGGTGGATATATGTACCTTTGGCAACAATTGTTTAACTCATTAATTTGTTAATAATTCATTTATTATCTGTCTCGCACACAAATACTCTAGAAGGTCGAAAAAGAAAATGTGTGTGTGGGAGGGGGTGGGAGGCTTTGAAGGCCTAGATTTTTCTGAGTTTTGCGAACGTGTGCCCCTATGAAGGGGACTTATTAAGTCCACCTGTAAGCTGTACTCCTACTTCTATTACGCACGCAGACCTGCCACCACCTCCCTCAAACGATTCTGGAACTGCCCCTTCACACAAGCACGCACGCACAAACGCACACGTGTGTGTGGTAGCGCTCTAAAGCCGTAACGTTCACGTTGATTAGATATCATTATCGTAATTACGATAGCTAAGAGAACACAAGCAAGAAGGTGCGCGACATCGAAGGGATAGTTGTTTTTTTCTAACTAGCAGCAGTGCTAACTAAGGGCGCGCTTTGTATGCAGTAAGTCCTAGAGTTACCATCCCACATCCTGGCGAAACTCACGATCATCCAGGATGTGTCTTCAAACAATGAACAAACGCAAGCGCGCCCTCTCAATAGGAGGCCACATGGAACGCGATGGGTCATACACAACAATGAACAGGGAACTACTCCTAAAGCTAACAGTGCATTAAAATTAAGTTACGTTCGCAAAACCACTGAGAGGCATGAACGGTGAGATATATCTTTGACTGAATGGTTTCTTCTATGTCGCTGTCCGAGCCATTGAACTCTCACAATGTGATGATTTCCAAACTTAATTGACATATGACCACTCCTCGCCATACAGCTTGACAGAATATAGGATATATCGCGTTAAAGAAATAAATAAACTAAACCGTGCTTGTAACTCAAGACAAGCTATCACCGAGACTGGCACGTGTCTTTGACGTAGCTCTAAAAGCACTCGTGTGTTTTGAAAAGAATTATACCCACGACTAAATGCTATCACCAGAATACAGAAGGCCCACGAATTTATAATTAATCACGTCGCGAAATGGTAAATCTCAGCGAATAACACACAATAGAGACAGTCAATATCAAATGTGAGTCCCACTGTATGGGATGACGACTATGGGCGTGCATATGAATTGTAGCAAGCAGAGCTTTGTCCTTTATAAACAAATATGTAATCATTCATGTCACGCTGTCTACGTATGGATAGATGTACATTTTAACACTTTCAATGATATATGACCGAATCACCCCAGAACCTTCACGGAACACGGATGTCAAGCCGTAAAAATGAATTATTTTCTTCACGGGCGTCAAGAAGCTTCACGTGGCAAGTTTTAGAGAGCTTTATCAGGTCGATGTAACGAAAATTACGAAAAACAAAAAGGAGCTTTTAGAATGTGCGGCATCGGAGCGATTTTGAGGCACTAAAGTTACGCCGCAAGTTCAAACAATGATGAAACTTTCACTCTCATTTTACCTCCCTATGGCGAACAAATGGTGGATAAATTGGCGGCAACTGAGTTCTCAAATAATATTTTGTCAGTATAAACTTACTTCTTGTTAGATGTTACACAGCCTCTTTTTTACTTACTGTTCCTCTCGAACGATACTTCCTAGCCCGAATCATGTTAACGGCTAGCTCATTTTTTAAATTTTTAGTGTTCAGGCTCACGCTCTCATAACTCCATTTTTGTGTTCGAGAAGTACCATAAGAAAAAAGGAAATCGAGGCTTACTATTTATAATGGGCGGACGAGGCTTTAACATCCTAGAAAATATTTAACCGCGGTTAGCGAAGAAATTTATTCATTCACGAAAGTGGAACCAAAAGTTCACTTGTCAGGATATGTGGCATGTCGGTAAAATGCTTGCTAAGCGAATTCTCTGTTATGGTCGCCAGAATATCGCTGTGCTTGTTAGCGAAAGTTCACGAACACGAAACACTCGTCAAAGGTCAATGAGCGGCGGATATATGCAAACTAATAAAACATGTTTTCGCGAGGAGGTCTCTACGAACCGTTGCGAACCATTACAACACCACATACGAAGCAGAACTCACGCTCAAGGCGCCATCTTCGCGCAGTGCGTCGAGCGAGAAACGGTTGCCGTGATCCGCACAGTCTTATGCTTGCGCCGGAACGGTAGTTCTTGTATCGCTCGCACAGCCGTCGGATCTGTTCAACCTCAACTACGGTTGTTTCCCGATTTCTGAGGGTGAACTATACTGTGTATCAAGCTGTCGGTGTACGGATGTGGGTGGCCACGCAATTCCAGAAAGTCGTCATCTTGTGCTGATAGCGCTGTCCTATCACCACTGGTATTTGGTTGCTGGGGAAGGAAGGAAGGAAGGAAGGAAGGAAGGAAGGAAGGAAGGAAGGAAGGAAGGAAGGAAGGAAGGAAGGACAGACAAAAGGAAGGAAGGAAGGAAGATATGTAGGTAGGTAGCTGGGTAGGTAGGTAGGTAGGTAGGTAGGTAGGTAGGAAGGTAGGTAGAGGTAGGTAGGTAGGTAGGTAGGTAGGTAGGTAGTAATAGTAAACCTTGATTTTTTTCTTTTGTTTTGGTACTTCTTGAAAACAGAAATAGAGTTCATTAGCGCGTGAGCTTGAACACTAAAAATTAATAAAAATAAGCTAGTGGTTAACATGATTCGGGCTAGGAAGTATCGTGTGAGAGGAGCAGTAAGTAAAAAAGAGGCTGTGTAACATCTAAGAACAAGTAAGTTTATACTGACAAAATATTATTTGAGAACTCAGTTGCCGCCAATTTATCCACCATTTGTTCGCCATTGGGAAGTAAAATGAGAGTCAAAGTTTCATCATTGTTTGAAATTGGAAACAAAGCAAATTGCAAACATCGGAACCTCAAAGTCGCTCCGATGCCGCACATTT